ATTCTTCTGACACGTGCTCTATCTAGTCTTGTTTAGAATAAATGTATATTTTGGGTTGCGCGCAGTTTTTCCAGCTTTAACCGAACATTAAATAGCAATTAACCGAAAAATAAAAAGATAGAAAGTGGCAGGAAATAGTTATCTAACATGGGCATAAATCATGACCCAACAAAATCTGTTCCATGTCGTATTTGGAATAAATTACGTTTTCTCTGCAAGCATCTCTATTTCGGTATTGTGCTTGACATAAAAACACTGACCTCATAGGGATACTTGGCTTCGAAACAGTGCCATAAAATCACCTACCACTGAGCGCATTTTTAAGAATGGTCATGTTTTATTTGATGTTGTAATAAATGTTAGTTGTTCCGGGAAGTTATTATTTTAATGAATACGCTATGTTTGTCTGTCTTTAATAGTTCGGCATTGTGCATTTTTTTAAAATTTTATCACGACATGCCTTTTATCTAACGACGTCTTCGACTGTTAAAAATTAAAAAAAATGCCTGCTAACTAATCTATTGGGCCCAAAACCGTCTTTGAGCTCTAATTGTTTTTACGGATTATCTATATTGTAAAACTGAATTCCGGTTTCAAACATTCAGCCTTTTTACGCAAACAATTGCACGCATTTTCGACTCTATTATGGACCTGAGATGAAAGCGATCGTTCGATTGTCTCGAAAAAAACGGACTCAATTCAGGGAATAATAAAAAAAACATTTACAGAACGGAAAAGTTACAAAATACACTTTTTCGGCAAAAATTACATTTCCCGTTGTAAACAGTTGAGACAGGTTAAGAAACAAAGTAAACTTTGGTAACGTTGTTAACAGAATCGACATTTCCAAAGATGTCAGACCTTTGAAAATTCCTAACTTCCAATCCAGGAACGGCGGCACATTGAAATTTGCTCACCCCGCAGAAGATACTTGAAACTTTACTAGTTTCAATCGAATACCATGGAATTCAATTGTCAGCCAACCCTACAAATGACCATTAGGGCCAAAAATGAACATTTATACTCCACAGGAGGCTCTGGCTTAAAAATTTGCAAGTTTTCCTCAAGAGTCGAGGGCAACTTGAAATTAGCTCACCGTATAGCGGAAGCCTCGAGCAGCAAACCTCTGCAAAGGATGGGCAAAAAATGGACATCCACACTAAACTGCACGCTCGTATTTAAAAATTCCCAACTTTCAATCCCCCGCGTGTGGCAACTTATTAAATAGGGAGCCAAAAATAAACATTCACACTAAACTGCACACTCGCCTAAAACCATTTCCAACTTCCACGCCAATGCTGGTAGCAACTTGAAATTTGCGCACCCTATAGTGTAAGGGTAGCAACCAGCTTAGAGTAACGGTTCTCTCTAGTAAGTGTGGATTGATTTGAAATACAGGTAGGATTGATATTAAATCCAGTGTTATCCATTCAAACGGAAATAGTAGACGACTTTATTGGTTCACAAGGTAATAAAAATCGCAGTAACAGCTTACTGAGACATGCACAAGCAGTAAAACCTGCAAACCACAATTTCGGTTATAAAATAAAATAAAATAAAATTAAGAGCGAGTTTATAGTAATCTTCAGACTTACTGGCGTGAGAGTTAATGGAATTCCGAAACTACAAAATGAATCAAAATCGCTTGAAACCGCTAAGTTTTTGGGGGTGTGGAAAAGAGTTTTTCTTAGTGTTTCTACCTCTGAAGATGCAAGCAAAACCTCTGACAGAAATCCTTTTCTACGATAAACTATAAGCTGGAAAGTCTCGCCAGCTAAAAAATTAAAATGAAAGAATCACAGAAATAACTGCCCGACTTTTTTTAGCTTTAACCTCGGAAACATTAAACTTCTACACTTCTACCTCTGATATGATCTAGATAAACTTAGCCACTTACAGCTGAATTGTAGGTGCAAGCTTTGTGGATTTAGGTGTCAAGTAATTTACATCACGGTAATGAAGAATACTTCCTATACAGAAGCTTGACAATGTTGCCTAGTTGCTGTTGCCCAAGAACACATTAAATGCCTCATCTCCTCACATGGTTTCGCCAAAAAGCTGCGAATTTAATTGAATTTCCTGAAAACAGGCAAATAGAATCCTTAATCTGTCTGTCCCATCCAAGTGACATTGTAAATAGCCGGAAAACAGTAATGCTCGTCAAAAACTATCGCCCCCAGTTTATATATGGACCCTTCGATCGAATAAATCTTGATTTATACACATCGTTGTATCCCTTTTCATCCCGCAAGTGGCATGTCGACTTTTTAACAAAGAATTCGTCCCTCCCTTTCCTTGAAATCGTTCCGGAAACCTATATTGTCTTGGTGAATTTGCACCATCCGAATATACTGCCTGAGTCGAGAGTATGGGAGGAGATTTATTGAAGTCAAGGGAGAAACACCAAAACTATTGATTATTTGCGCAAGGAAAACTGTTGTAGAAATAACGAAATTTGCTCTAGAAGATCTTGAACTGAATAAAAAAAACGACCATGTACGTACAATAAATTGACTTCTTCAGAAGATTCTAAGACCCAGTCATTAACCTTAGCAAATAAATCGGTACAAAACATGATTTGTTCTTGATGCACATGGAAAAAATAAAACGAACAAAGACGATAAAATCCATCAGCAAAAATCCGAATAACAAGGGCTAAAAAGAAAGTCGTGCAAAAACTTTCCGCGTTTGACATGCCTTGCCGATATAACAACCGAGCCACTAGCTTCTTTTCTTCTCTGCTTTATGGGTTGTTTCTATCCCGGACAGACGTAATAATGTCCTGTAGCTTCGCGCCTTTTACTGCAGGAAGAGAGAATTATGTAGGGAACTCAATAACTCGAAAAGGAACAGCGCGGCAACTCCCAAGGAAAACATGGACGCTTTTCCACTCGAGCAAAATATGGAAGTGAATAGTTAGAGTTTCGGTTTAAAGGTGGTAATTATGTCACATAAGGTTCCACGGAAGCCCATAATCTGATAGGGTGGTCGGACTGCAATAAATAAGATGTTATCAGTTTTAAAAAGCGATCGAAATTCCCCGTCTAGGCGCTGGCATTTTTCAAGAAGCAGCTTGTTAGCAGGTAGTTTCGTTTTTAATGAGGGGTAGTTCAAGGAAATTTATTAGGGACAATTTATTAAAGATCGTGATTTCATTCTGCCCGGTGTCTTAATAAGATAATTTATATTTAAAATCGTGGATGGCGTTCTAGTCGAGCCGCGCACCGCCACTTCAGGTCTCGCTCATTTGTTAAATTATTTTCTTAATTAAAAATGAAACTTGGAGAGATAATGCTTTCCTGTCTGGCTAACAGGCGTAAGTTACTGCATGCGCTCGATACAGAAACTTTCAGAACACGCTTTACTTATAATGATAATCTGGGCCATAAATGCATTTCCATCAAATCATTAAAATAAGGAAGGGTGACGTATGTTTTCTGATAGTCTGCTAATGCTGAAAACTTCAAATTGCTGGTCGCTTTATCTTGAAAATTCCGATTTTTGAAAGGGGAATTGGCTTGAGGGCAAAAATTATTGACTTTTTGCCCTCAGTACGTATAGGTCAGACTCAAAATATCTTTTATTATTTTGCCCGGAACGCTGGCAAGTGAAATTACCCACAGCGCTGAAAAAAAAATTATTTCGACTTTTTAGTGAAAAGACTCGTGAAATTAGTTTGTTTTGCCAAAAACACATCATTAGGTACATTTTCTTCTGATCGAACACAGAAACAAAGGTGCTCAAAAATTTCTTTTGAATTGAAACCCAATTTTTAAACTATGCGACGAAAAGACCCATTCAAGTTCTCATTTCAATGTTTTTCTGAAATACTCGAAAAAGAAACTAAACATTGGCTAAAATTGTTAACTCATCAGATCGCTCCTGTTGCACTTCAAAAGCAATTATATCTGGCATTTCCTGTAAAAGTTTCTTAACAATCGCCACGAATAAACCAATAACTACTTGAGGAATGAATGAAAAAGCAATTAAGCGTTACCAGATCATTAGAATAAGTGATTATTCCACCCGAAAAACAAATTCGAAGTTCGCTAAGCAAGCTAAACATTAATTAACTCGGAATTATAGCAAACAAAACTAGGTTAACTTGCGTAATGAGCTACGAATAAAATAGTAAGAATGCGAAATAATACACGATAAAGTGAATTAAAGAAGGCGAAATTACCTAAAAATGTCGATTGAGTTTTGATCTTTAGTAAGACTTGATATCTTAATGGTTTTACAATTGAAATTCGTCTAATAGTCTTTGAAGCCAAAGCAAGTAAATAATTCCAATCGTTTTATTCAGAGATAAAAATCAAATTTATGACCCGGAGCGATATCAGATTCAAAATGGTCATAAAATTGCTTCCCGCCGGCTAGATGATCTAAAAAAAGGGTGTATCGGTTCAATTTAGCCTTCCCTAAGAGTTTGTGTGTAAGAAAAGAGGACAAAGAAGTGTCGTCAAGGAGAAAATAGGAGAGTGAGCTCCTGGTTGATGAAAAATGTATTGCAGATGACTTTTATATATGAGACGAGTCTGCAAAGTGGTTTTTTCAGGTAGCAAAATAACAAGTTCCTGCATGGAAATTTATATCAAGTTGAAACAAAAAAAATCTCATCTATCTGAACCCTCGATCCGTCGAAAATCGCAACATTATTTCTATTTCCATCAGCCAGAATCGTCCCCTCCGACTTCTCATCCAAGAGCAATTATTACAGTTGGGAATTCGAAAAAAAAAACAAGGTGACGGTCGTACCTTATTGGTGGACCAGCGTGTGTAAATAAATTCGGTATGAAAAATAAGGCATTTGCAAATAAAAATTGACTGGTACTAGCAGCCTGAATCGTTCCACTCGGGTTTCACATCAAGAGCCGCAAATTGACCGCTTTTAAATTAAAGTCCCACAAGACCATAAATCAACTGAAATTAGTGTTAGTCTACTACGTTGAACTCGAGAGAGAAAAACTAATTTCCAATTAAAATAAATAAATTCTTACCTGCTAAATGCGAACCGCTACGCCCACAAAGGATGTGGCATCGTGCGGGAATCACGTGGCAAACTTGAAGAGTTCGGCAGGAACGGCGGCAATTTTCCAGGAGGAGGCGGTGGAGAAAACACTGGACTTCTGGATCGGTCCATTAGATGCGAAGGAGTGGCTGTGGCGTAGATGTTCACAGAAGATCTTTGATGCATGCAGCTTTTCCGCACGTCTGGCATGGCAAATTGCAGCTTTTGCCAGAACTGCCGGTCGCCCCATTCGATCACCGTGTTGGTTTTGAGGTACAGCCTTAGATCGGGATCGAGATCCCGCGAAGGCAATTCCCCAGTCACGATGAAAATGAGCCGCTTGCGCCTATCTTTTAGCACTTCGTGCAAAGCGCTTTTAAACTCGAATCGACACCACTCGTTATGAAGAAAGTTCTTCGATAGCACAATGATAGTTCGCTTGGAGGATTCGACTGCCTCAATTATCGTGTCAGCCACATAGGCTGACACGTTAAAGTCCCTGTAGTGAAGACACAGTCTGTAGGAAGGATCGCCGCTTTCTAATCCGGGGGCCAAAGCCTGACTAACGAACACTTCATCTTTTACACTGTAGCTAACATAAGCGTCAAAAAGACGCTCTTTGTCCTGCTGTTCGTCAAACGCGGTAGTTTTGTAGCACATTCGCAGGCCGCAACGCGAATACACCCATACTCTTAGCTCTCTGCGGTAGTAAAAGGCGCCGCATACGATCACAACGCTTGCGATAAAAACGCACATTGTTCCCAACAGTAACGGCAGATAATCGTTCATGACCTGCTGCTCGACAATTGCGTGATTTCCATCGGAAAAGAACTGCAGACACTTGGAGGAATTGAAATCGGACATTTTCGGCCCCAGAAGATTGGTGGAGTTGTTGACCACGCAGGTGATTCTGGTGGCGTCCACCACTTTGGCGTAATTCTGCTTCAGCCACGACTTAAACCGCCCAACATACCCGCAATCGCAAGACCAGTGATTATAAGCCAACCCAATCTCCACCAAATAAGGATTCAATGAAAGCTGCCACACCTCAAACGAGTACAGCCGATTTTCATCCAAACGCAGCACTTCCAAGTGTTTCAACTCGAGAAAAGTCCTGTTATCGATAAAATGAATCATGTTCCCTTGCAAATAGAGCTCGCGAAGCGACTCCAAAGTGGCCAGTTCAAAGCCGAGCAGTTCCTTAATTCGATTGTTCTCCAAATGCAAAATGGACAACCGTCGAAGTCCGCTAAACGTGTGGTTGTAAATCGCTGCAATATTGGAGTTATTCGCGTAAAGAACCCTCAAATTCTTGCGGCCAATGAACGAGTGGCTGGAGAGTTCTCCGAAATTGTTTCCGTCCAAATACAGCTCGCTTGCGTCCATTGGGATGGTGTTTGGCATTTCAGTGTAGCCCGCACTGGAACATTCCACTACATTCGAGCTCCACAGTTGGTCGTGATAACAAGTGCAGTTTGTTGGGCAGGTCATTTCGCAGTCGCAGGCATCAAAGTCGCAGCAGTGGCACAGAGCGAAACAGTGTGTTTTATATGTGCAGAGAAACTGCGAGGACTCGACCTCAATCAGGGGCATGTAGTTGTTCTCCCTGTTGTACAGCAGTTTGCAGTAGATACTTTCCAAGTCCATTACTCGCGGGTGTTGGCGCAGATGGTCCAGTTTGTTGATTCGCTGCAGCCATTCCATGGTGCAATCGCACTGGAACGGATTGCCCCCAATGTAGAACTCTGGGAGAGGTTTCTCCGGGTCAACAGGTGTGAGCAGGAGCGTGTTCAAGTCCATGCTCCCAATCTGGTTCGCATACAGATCCACTCTGCTTAAATTGGTTTTTTTGATGAAAGTATGCGGCTCCACAGTGCTGATTAGATTGTCGTTCAAAAACAGCAGCTCGATGCTGCTGGGCATCGAGCTTGCGCTGATTTTCGATATTTTGTTGAAGCTGGCGTCCAATTGGGACAATCTTAATTCGTAATCGAGATTGTACCGATTGCGCAATTCTCTTACGTTGTTTTTATGCAAATCGAGCCATTGTAGGCTCTGCGGAATCAATGCGTAATCGAACCATTCCAGTTGATTATCGGACACATTCAGCCACAGCAGGCTTTGAATATCCGCAAATAATCCGCTGACGTCGATTAATTGATTGGAGTCCAGTCGAATGGCTTGCAAGTTGGGGCTGTTGGAAAACGAGCCCTGTTCGACTCGCTCGATTTTGTTTTTGGCCAAATTCAGAATCTGCAGAGCCGGCAAATCGGCGAACGCGCGCTTGCTAACGTTTTGTATTTTGTTGCCGAGCATTCTCAGGCCGTACAAATTGTCCAGGCCTCGAAAGCCCGGCTCGTCGAGATACGTAATCAAATTTTCCCCCAAATCAACTGTTCTTAAGAGCCGCATGTCTTTCAGGGCCAACGGGACCGCTTTCAGGTGATTGCTATTTAAATTCAGGTCCTGCAGACTGGAGCAGTTTCTGAATGAATCGGGGTGAATGCCTTCGAGTACGTTATTATCCAGGGCAAGCAGCGACAGAACGTAGAGCCCATTAAGAGAGTACGCGTCCAAGTAGCTGATCCTGTTATATGAAATTATCAATGTGTGCAAATTATTCATGGGGGCAAATGTGTCTGCGGGAATGGTTTCCAGTGAATTATGCTCCAAGTTGAGAATTTGCAGGGTGTATAAATCGCGGAAGAATGACGGATCCAATTTGGAGATTCGGTTATATGATAGATTCAGCAGGACTAGTCGAATTAGGCCGGAGAACGTGTCAGCGTTTATCCAGGAGCTGGTTAGGAGATTTTTCGATATATCCAGAGCCAGTAGCTGATCGAGATTGGCGAAAAGCCCTGGGGCCAACACACTGATTGAGTTGTTTTGCAAGTAGATTTCCTTAATTGACTCGCGACAGTCCTTGAACAGTTCGCTGGGCAAAGCGACCACTTTGTTATTGGATAGATCAAAAATCTGCAGGGCCTTAAGCCCGTTTAGAGCCTTGTCGGCCACCATGCTTATTTCATTGTTATGAATGTAAAACTCCTTGAGTCTACGCAACACACTAAACCCGTTGGCGGGAATGAGAACAAAGTGATTAAAAGACGTGTCCAGTACCTGAATGTCCAAACTGCATGGATGCGTCAATGTCCTGGTGTTTTCTGGAACATGAGCTTCGTCTTCGGCCACACTGATCAACGGCTGGGGTAAACCGGGGGCTTTTTCCCTGAAGCCCAAGTCGCTCACGTCTTGCAAGCGATTTTCGCTCACGTTCAAAAACACCATGTTGATGAGTGGGCAGAAGATGTTCTCTGGAAAGGACCAAATGTTGTTGCACGACACGTCCAGACGCTCCAGCTGTCTGACAGGGGTGAAACTATCGCGCGAAAAATCCAGATTCATTGCCGGCCAATCGGTGTTGTGTGTTCGCACAGTGAGATTTCGCAGATCTCTTAGGCCGAACAGGGTGGCTGCTGGCCATCTTGCCAGTTTGCAATGCTCCAGCTCCAAAGCTCGCAGTTTGTTCAAGTGGACGAAACTGCGATCGTCCAGACTGGAACGGGACATTATGTCCGAATTGCACTCGATTCTCAAGGAAGTTGTGTGCTCAGATGGTATGACGCTGAAGTTGGTCGTGTCGAACTCACTGTTGATAGTGCGGAGTTTGCAGGTGAGTGCGACCTCGTCCTGTCCACTGGCTGTAGACGGATCTCGCACCCACCACTGACAATCATCTGGTGCTTCGTATCTGAGCCCACTTGACGAATCCGTGGGTGATATGTCATTGCCGGCATGGCCAGAGTTGATTAGCGAGCAGCCGAAGAACAACACTAGTGATATGATCATTTTTCCGCAGTTTTTTGCAATGTTTGTGGCACTACGAGCAAAAGTGCTTCCGGTGATGCATTGGACACGGACACTAAACACACGCACAGTTTTCCGTTTGAAATTTAAATAAATTGTTCACGCCCGATCTAGTGACGAATGTGGCACATGCGATCTCACGACGAGCGACCGTACACAAGAGCGCACAAATTTGAACTAGCGCCTCTTGTGCTGCAGTGAATGATACACGCGAACAGTCAAAAGCTCCATGAGCTTTAGAGCCCCGAACGGGTCCGAAAGCTCTCGAGGGCTCGCCGACCATCGTTCGGCCCCTCCTTATGAAGCAGATCCAAGAAAGACGAAATACCTTTAAAGGGGTGATGATTTGTTCTTGTGGAAGAATTGGGAATGACCAGTTGACTGGCCGGGGTCGATTTCAAAGTTGATGTCGATTATTACACAGTCAACATTGATTTTTTCAATTCGGGCATTTTTTTGGCATTGATCCTTGGCAACTGTTTATTTCTTTCTTTATTTTGTGTGTTAGTTTTTGTCTGTTTTGAAATGAACGCTCGTAGCTTTTAAATCGTATTCACTTTGTTGACTTATTTGTGAATCTTTATTTCTCGAACTGCCCCCATTTGAGCCCGTTTTAAAACTGATGTAAATGTATTGTCTTTTGTATGGCGCTATTTCAGGTTTTGCATTTGAATAATCAGACAAGTATGGATACACAGGGCGAGACACCTGCTTTCTTACTTTTCATACTTCTGAAAATAGTATAGGTACATAAAAATAACCTTTTTTGCTGACTTTTGCCTAAAATTCATCCGCAACGTTTCTTTCAGGAATATTTTGTTTTCTAAACAAAAATTTGTAAATTTGAAGTGTTTTATTGCTTAGGCTTCTTCCTCTTTGAAAACTATGCCTAAACAAACCTCTGGTACTTCGCCACTGGAAAAAGTGGCGTTTCTATAATTTTTTGAGGCAAAATTAGTGACAATGCCACAATAATAAATAGACGCTTCTGAACAAACTAAAAAAATTAGTGCTGAGCATTCTTTTTGGCAAATTCGCTCTGGTTTTGTTTTCCGCCCTTATTAATGTCTTTCACATATAAAACAGCAGGAATTATTTTCATTTTACATGGTGGTTTGAGGCATAGTCATCTGAAGCAAGTATCACAGTGTCGCACTTACTACGTTTCAAATTGGTTTTTCAACAAATATTCCATTTCAGATGGGAATAATTTTTGTTAAACTCCCCGTAAACTTGAAGATTGTTTTACAGGTTCAGATATGTTGTAGCGCGTATTAGCACTATCGTAATCTTGGGTTTGCGAAACAAAAGCGTTGAAAATCCATTCACATGCTTCTGCAACACTTATCACGCCTCAATTTCCTACGGAAAGTGCAATTCAGCGTACATGCTCTGATATACGAGAGTGCATTACACATTGCCATAAACAAAAGATCCGTTATAGGAGTTGAAAAGGAAATTGAGATAAATTGAAGTTGAATGTAAGCCAACATTCGCCGATAGTAACTAGAACAGAGTATCAGATTTTTAAGTCAAAAGGAGTCGATGAGCTCAAAAACCACGCATGTCAAATTTTTATTGCTTTGCCGAAATATTTCTAAGCACCTTGAAATCCACATTGTTGTGATATCAATAAAGCGAGGAATGCATATAACCAGTTGCAAAACACATCTGAAGTTTTAGTTCCGAAATAATCGACATTTTCTGTACATTTTAGGCGTTTTTTGAGCATTCACCATCTTTAAGCGACGATTTCTTCCTTATCATTGACCCAAACTTATAACCCAAATTTATAAATGCACTTTTGTCAGTTGAAAAAATACTTTTTTTCTCGAAAAGCCTTGGAATGTCCATCATTGTGATCTGAAGGAAGCGAGGAATGCATCGAACCAGTTGCAAAACACACTAGAAGATTTAGTTCCGAAATAACCGACATTTTTAATACATTTTAGGCGTTTTTTGAGCATTTGATTTATTCCTTATCATCGACCCAAACACTTTTGATAAAACACTTTTGTGAGGTTCTCGAGTCCAAAGGAGTCGATTGAGCTCGAAAAACACGCATGTAAAATTTCGATTTTTCGCCGAAATTTTCCTAAGGGTGGGGGTCGATTTTTTATAAAATTAAAAATGTTCTCAAAATGTTTTGAAATCTGCGCAACTCTGATCTCAAGGAAGCCAGGAATTCAACGAACTAGTTGAAAAACACGCCAGAAGTTTCGGTTCCAAATAATCGATATTTTCGGTAAATTTTTTGCGTTTTTTGTGAAATTTTGATTTTTTCCTGAAAATTTTCTAATTGTAAGGTCAATTTTTTGAAAAATTAAAACTTACTACTTATACTCAAAATGCTTTGAAATCTGCAGCATTCGGATCTCAAAGAAGCGAATAATGTAAGAAAATAGTTGAAAAACACTGCAGAAGTTTCAGTTCCGAAATAATCGATAATTTCGGTAAATTTTATGCACTTGTTGAGCATTCTCGATCTCTAACCGACAATTTCCTTATTATTGGTCCAACCACTTTATGCATTGAAATGCACTTTTGTGAGCCTGTTAAGGTGAAAGGAATCGATTGAGCCCCAAAAACACGCATGCGAAATTTTAATTTTCTGCCGAAAATTTTCTGATGGAGTCAATTTTTGGGATTTGGAAAAAAAATCCCAAAATGCCTCGAAATCCGCATAATTCTGACCTCAAGGAAGCGTGGAATGCAACTAACTATTTGAAAATCACACCAGAAGTTTCGGTTCCGAAATAATCGATATTTTCGGTCCGTTTTTTGCGTTTTTTAGGCATCCACGATCTTTAAGCGACCATTTCTTCCTTATCATTGGCCCAAACAACGTCTAAATGTACTTTGCGAGCTTCTTGAGTGAAAATTTTCTAAGGGTGGTCGATTTTTTGGAAAATATTTTTTTTTCTCAAAATACCTTCAAATCTTCATCATTCTGATCTCAAGGAAGCGAGAAATGCATCGAACCAGTTGCAAAACACACTGGAAGATTTAGTTCCGAAATAATCGATATTTTCTGTATATTTTAACCGATTTTTGAGCATTCACGGTCTTTAACCGACGATTTCTTCCTGTTTATTGATCCAAACAATTTATAAATGCACTTTTGCCAGCTTCTTTACGAAAAATTTGGGAAATTCCGAAAAAATATCGAAGAAACGAAAAAAAAAGTAGACATTTGGATAAATCTATCGATTTAAAACTGGAAACTGGCACATTATAGAAAGTTCATTCTGCCGAGTCATTGTCTTTAGTGAACTATTTCCTTTGCACATTTGTTCAATGCGGAACGCCTCAACAAAAATAAAACTTCGAGTTTTGCTCTGATAATCGAGATTAAGCCCGGACTTTTCAAATAAAGTTTCAACCAAATAGACACAAAAAAGACCTCGTGTTGGGGATAAAGGCCGGATAAAACCGAGCAAAGATGTGGCGCGGAATTTTAATATAGTCGAGAATACTGAACTTAAGAGAAGAAAAAAACGTGAAATCGATCAGGATTCGAACGGAAATACCTATTACTCGACGAACGCTTATTAGCTGGCTAAACATGGCGTTGGGAAAACAAGCAAAGTGCACATTTTATAACCAGATATAACGATAGTGTCATTGTCATTCAGATCTGATATTTTGCCCAGGGGGGATAGTGGCATAAAGAGGAAGTTTACAGCAGTGTAAGTTCAGGATTTCTTGTTTAGCTGCTTTCTTGGGAGATAAGGAGCTACCAATAAGAAACTGAGCTAGGCAAATGAAAGATTGCCTCGTGGAGCGAAACTTTAACAAAACAAATACCCAACGCAACTTGCCATTAAGCAATGAATTGTAATCTGAGGAAGCTGTTTAAGAAAAAACGACTCTCAATGAATGTCACCTTTTTATTGGCACGCACTAACAGTTGCGGAATGACTACATGACCACCGATCGAAACCTTTGTGTAAATAATTTATATAATAATAATTTAATAAAATAAGTGCATGCAAAAATCCTTGGTAAAGCTGAACATGAAACACATAAAAATACGTACAATTTCCGTTCTTCTTGCACTTAAATGGTGTAGACGAAGTTCAACTAGAAGTCCATCAGAGTGGTAATTCTTTGAGTCCTTGTTAACGTCTAATGAGTCACTTGCAATTTGCTCGACTTTGATTTACCAATGAAATCTACAGTTAATTGTTTCGGCCAAAGAAGCGCAATAAACGTCATTTAAGCTCAGTCATGGAGTCCAACAACCATGCGAAAGATGGAGGGACGCGTAATCGAGTGAGGACGGTACACTTGGGTCGTTTGTCACCATTAGTTCGGGAATTCCTTCCCTCTGCACCAGAAGGAAAGACGACGGATCGTTTGAACGTCTTTTAAGATGCTCGGACAGTGGCGGCGCCTTTGCAGTAGTCAAAAAGCCTAGTTTCTGGTTGTTTTATGAAACACCCTAAGAAGTGGCTGTAAGTCGACAATCAATGCAATCAGTGTGGTTCCAGTGATCGCCATTCTTTTAATAGCTGATGAAGAACCAAGGTTTTTTAACGTACAAACTCTTCATCAATTGGAGGCCACGAGAAGAGGTGACTTCGATCCGGGATTTTCTCCTTTGAGTAAAATCATGTACTCTCAGTGACTTCTTCAAGCACATTTCAACAACTTCCAGTTGAACCTTTAATTGTTTGAAGAAAAATTGACGACGTTTCACCCACCCGTACCGCTCGCTTCTTCGAAGTCTGCCCCAGTGTATTACTTTCCGACTCCTGATTTGACCGTAACGCAAACACCTGCAGACTAATATCGTTTCTACATCATCCATAAATCTGACACGCCACCGGAAAATAACACAACAAGATGAGAAATTCGCAACTATTTGTTTTGGCCGCTGCACCACATTGATCTCTACTGGATTTGGACGGTAAACACCATCATTGAATTAATTCTGGCTGGATGCTCTGCATACGATACGCCAATTACTCTTTTCCTTCGTTACCGACTAAACAGTGTGTAGACGAAGGAAATGTGAACGTAAAATTAAGCAGTAAAATAAATCATATAAGAAAATGAATTAGACTAACGATGACAACTTTACCAAAGCTAAACAAGGATGATTCTGGTTGAAGCTTTGGAAGTTTCAACTAAATGAAGAGTGGATTTCAAACAAACCGTCAACGACGAACTTGAAAATGGTTTAATTAGATTTCACTTTTACTGGATTACAAAGCTTT